TACTCATTTATTTCTCATTACCCCTTTAGTTCTAAGTACCAATGTAGTTCTTAGTAACCATGTAGTTCTTTGTATCAAGACTGTTCTTAAATACCCTTGCAGCTCTTTAGCAGTGAACTTGTACGTGTTGCTGATGCATTTAGTTATTATTAATGCCATTAATTTTCACGCTTGAGTAGATAATGACCACTGTAGATCACCTTCATGATACCATTAACATACTAATAGAAAAGTCTATAGTATAAGGATGTTTTATGTTGTTCGATCGTTCACAACAACCAGGCTGAAAACTGTACAAATTTCTTTATATTTTCGTGATTGTAAGTAATCAATCAACGTTATTATTCGTTGTTCAACTCTCTTGATTCATGGCAATCGATCTTAAATACAAGTCGAGGGAATAAATTTATACCTACGCGCCTTCCCTCCTGTAAATTCAGAGAATAAGAAAATCATAATTTAAACAGTGTTGAGTTATTATTACCTCACTATTGCAATTTTTTCCCAATTTTGGCATTTGAAATATTCAGTTCAAACCTCATTGACATTTCATTGCTACTCAAAAATGTTAACTTAAATAATATGCGTTTAAAAATTACTTTTCAAAGACAAAGAGGCCAGTATCTCCGATGTTGCACCAGTACAATGAATTTTGTAATTTTATTTTTAAGTTATAAACAAATTGTTTATTCTGTTAATTGATTCATGCATTGTCTCCAATTTTACGAAGGTTTGCAAAATTTCAGATCGATCGGACAGGTAGAAGTGTGGTAAATATTTATTATTAGAATTGTAGCAGACAAAATTATTTTTCAATTTTTTATATTGAAAAAAGTTTAATTTTTATATTTTTGTTTAATTCTGTCAAGTGATTCATGCATTGTCTAAAGAAGCAAGGGTCTCCGATGTTACACATGTACAAATTACAATGAATTTCTTATTTTATTTTTAAATATTTTTAAGAATCGATTTTTTGTATTTTTTAAGATTAAAAAAACTAAAATTTTTGAATTATTTATTCTGTCAATTGATTCATGCATTGTCTCCGACTTTACGCAAGTATGTATAATTTCAGATCGATTGGACAGGTAGAAGTGTGTTAAATATCGAATACCAGATTTGTAGCAGACAAGCAAACAACAACAAGTGAAGTTGAAGAGAAGTGTAATAATATGCGTTAAAAAATTACTTTTTAAAGACAACACTTCTAAAGAGGCCAGTGTCTGCGATATTACACATGTACAATGAATATTTTTGAATTCTTATTTTATATTTTTATTTAAAAATATTAAAATTTATATTTACTTAATGAGTTAAAATTTTTTATTTATCAAATTATTTATTTTGTCAATTGATTCAAGCATTGTCACCGACTTAGCGCAAGTGTGCAAAATTTCAGATTGATTTGACAGGTAGAAGTGTGTTAAATATCGATTATAAGATTTGTAGCAGACAAACAAACAAACAACAAGAAGTGAAGTTAAAGAGAAGTGTTGTAAAATGATAATCAACGCTTTCTTTCTCAATCGATCACAATTAAATTCGAGAACAGATTGAAGAATAGTTATACACTTTGATCTCCTATTTTACTCATGCAGTTTTTTTTTAAACAATATGCAGTGAAAACATAACTGATTGACTAGCAGAACAATGGCACGACGCAATTACTCGACTTTTCATCCATGACGTGATATCATTGAATTTACATCCATCAATGTGGAATTTTTCAACATGACAATTCTGTATAATCAATAGGTTCCACTAGGGTTGTTTTGAGCTCCTCACGAAGTGAACTTCGGCTTCCATGGTCGCCGACCCTGGCGAACTCATCGCTAATTTGTGTCTTCAAGATCCTGAATGACAAAAAAAAATGCAGAGTTATATTCTCCACATTTCTATCGAGCTGGAAGAAAAGTGGCTGCACTCACCCCAGGTATCCATGATACATGGCCCATTTGTTGTCCTTTGAGCTCCGCACGAAGTGAACTTCGGCCTCCATGGTCGCCGACCAAGGCGAACTCATCGTGAATTTGTGTCTTCGCGGTCCTGGGCAATGAAAAATTTGATTGATGCTTTTTATCGAGGAATAAATACTTAGCGCTCTGTCCTGAGTGCATGAAAAATAGACGTCGATCAGTCAGAGGACCTACGCGGTTTAAGTAACCTTGATTCAGAGTATTCAGAGTAGTTCTATAATAATACGCGTTTAAAAATTACTTTTTAAAGACAACACTTCTAAAGAATCCAGTGCCTCCGATGTTACACATGTACAATGAATTTCTAATTTTATTATCAAACATTACAAAATTAATTTTTAAATTTTATTTTAAAAATGAAAAAAAAATTAATTATTTATTCTGTCAATATTGATCATGCATTGCCTCCGACTTTACGCAAGTGTGGAAAACTTCAGATCGATTGGACAGGTAGAAGTGTGTTGAATATCGATTATAAGATTTGTGAAAGATAAAAATATTTTTTACTTTTTTTTAAATTAAAATTTTTCTTTTTAATTTCCAAATTATTTATTCTGTCAATAGATTCATGCATTGTCTCCGACTTTACGCAAGTGTGCAAAATTTCAGCTCGATCGGACAGGTAGAAGTGTGTAGAATATCGACTATAAGATTTGTAGCAGACAGACAGACAGACAAACAAACAAGAAGTGAAGTTAAAGAGAAGTGTTGTAATAATAATAAGATTGCAATATAGCCAAAATATTATTTCAAGTTTTTTTTTCTTGTCACAATACTATATGTTATATTAACATCAAAAGTAAAAAGTATATTGACTAAAGTATATTAAATTGTTCATAAAATGTGATTCGGGCATATATCTAAATCATAAAACTACAATAATTCTCTCCTAATTTCGTTTTTAAATGTTATACGAAATAGATTATTATTATAATTAGTTTATATTTTAAAAATATTATAGTGGATAATATTATCATATCCGGGTGGCATTTAGTTAAAGGGCAGTCAATGCACATACCTGAACTCACCTACCGAGATGAAGAACCTAGACAGACAGCGGCCCGATTAGAACTGCAGGGGCGAGCGAGTGTTCATGACCGGTCTCGTGATGTAGCTATTGGTAGCAGTTAATAGCTCTCGTAGAATTAATATGCAATTTTATTAAACCTACATGTTTAAATCCTCGTATCTTGTACATGCAGCAACTACCATAGATAAGAGAAACACGCACATGAGCTACAATGCTTTCGAAGATATTCATGTTAGATAAGAGAAACACGCACATGAGCTAAAATGCTTTCGAAGATATTCATGGTCTCCACCGTACCATTTTGTTGTTCACAATTGCCGATCTGGTCCTCAGTTACTTTATTGATCTGTTATTCTTTTTATCTACGTTGAAGATCGTCGCTAAGGCTACGATAAAGCCAGGGTGCTCATTTGCGGGTAAAAATAATTAATATCTTAATTAATCGCATTGAAATGTGAGAAACTCTCTGTTTCAATTATTCATCTCAAACATACATACATGATCTCAACTGCCAAGTAAACCAACATGTATAACCACCACTGATGTAAAAACAGACATGTGGACTGCGGAGGTTATAATGTAAACCGCGAAATAAACTTAAACTTTATTGAAACTTGTATTTATAACCTTATATTTTCACATACTACAAGCTATTATGGTCTGTATAATTAGGGATTAAACAATTCTTTATTTAAATATCTTATATGTACCTGCTGAAGTTTATTTTTGTAACTTGAGTGTGCGTGTGAGTTTGTGTGTTTGAAACACCTGTCACCGCATATATATGGAGGCTGTTCGAGCGTGTATCCAAAATAGCTATAATATCGGAATATTTTTAAAAAAATAACTTTTCATGTCGATCTCTCGTTTAGCTCATGTTTTGTCTGCCGTGCCATCAGCTAGTTCTAGTACAATAGCCGCTTGCATGAAAATTAAATAGGAGTAAAACATAAGGAATTAAATTCAATGTATTGAACAAGTTATACGTGTGCAACCGTGGGTGCTATTTGAAATTATCAACGTAGATAACTTTTGCAGTACATTCAGAGGATAAATTTCAACTTTTCATAAAATGATATAATTTACCGTTATTTAAATGTGAAGTAAAAATTTTAAAAAATGTATACTAAAAGAAAATTATAATACCGATCTGTAACCAAAATGTACAGGTGTTTTTTGAAAATATTATCATTCAAGTAAACAAATAATTCACTTATGCCCCACATAGTAAATGGAAAATGATGCTTCGTAGATGGAGTGCTTCAACTGCCAAGACAAAATATCACGTCTAGATAAAAATGATGTTCTAACTGGCTTCAGGCAGATCTATATGAAATCACTCGCAGTAAGATAAAGGCAATACCTAAATTCGCACAAATCATCTATAAATAGCGTTAGTTGGATTCATGGGCGTTGTTGCATCGAAGAAGTTTGAGTCAATTGATTTTTGTCCAGAGCTAACGGCCTCAGGTTAAAGCAGCACACGATAGCCTCGTGTGCGATGTTTCAGACCTTCTTTCAACACAAGATTTTGTATAGATGTTTCATCTAATGTACGTTATTTAAATATTAAATATTAATTTTCTGAGACAGTTTACGCGTAAATTGCAATATCTGCTGAGCTGAAACCTCGGTTTAGAGTTGGCGGAGGTCCGAGGGCGGCAATCAATTTGAGCGGCAACGATGAAGTGAAGGCTCAGATCGCTCCATGACATGGCAGCTTGCGAGTCATTGGCGTCCTGAGCGGCCGATGACCAAGAAGAGCCTTCGATGCATGCTCAACGGAAACGTATGAGCTAATTTATTGAATTATGCAAACTAATTAGGTTATATCGATGCGGCCAGAATTTTTTTATATGATACTGAGGCAGATACTGTAATTTGAGGAATTTGACGACAGCCAAGTCCGTGCAATTTGACATGTACTTTTTCATGAACATATTTTGAAATGAAAATCGTTTTCACTTGTAACGCAATGGAAACTTCTGTCATTTTCAGTGGCTCATGAAGACTTTGTTGAAGCGTTCAGACCATCGGGCACTTGACCTCAGTGGGCGCTTCTTGACAGGCTTTCCTGTGAGAATCAATGACATTAATAACTATTCCAACAGACTGGTGTATAATTAAAGTTTTTATGAATATGAGAGAATGTTTCCTAAGCGAGGGCCGACATGGAACATGAACGGAGTTGAAATATGGTAGTGCTTGGGTAGGGTACTTAGAGTGTAATGTTGAGAAATAATGACTGCAGGCTTGTAGAACGATATAACGTAAGGACAAATGAAGTAAGTACCATACTCGAATAGAATGTCTGCGACCATAATTTTTTTAGAATAGTCAGACTGACTTTGTGAACTTTCCTTCCAAATTGTGGCAGATCTCATATGAATACGGATAAAAAGAAAACAATTAAGTGAAGTCCGGAAAAATTAAATTAGAATGAATCCTACAGTGTCGTTCCACCTGTATCAGTTTCAGATTGAGTTACGCCCAATCATTCAGTTATTTTATGAGTAAATTGACTGTAGAACACAATGAAACTTAATGAAAGGCTCCACTGTCATGGATAGTTATTTTTCCGCTTACTGGAGCATGGTGAGCAAAACAACACGGCTTGTCAAGTGACTGATTCAATTACGTTGACAAAACTAAATCTGATATGCGGTCAATACCACTGATATTCTAAAGAAGTTGGATTTCAGCCACCAGCGAAAACAGGTCATTGTGAATTCGATTAAAAAATTGTAAGAGAAGCCCAGTGAACTAAGAAATGTTTTCTCAGTGGCAGTGCCTCATTTCCTACCGTGTGGCAGCGGCTCCGGAGGACCGGCCAAGATGATGATTTTCTTCGGAATTTTCTTGACGGGAGCGACGGACTTGGTGACGCCCTCTGAGACGTCGTAGCAGCGCGGCCACACCAGGATCAGGAACACGTCGAATAAGTAGTAGACCACGTCGAAGAAGGTGATCAGCGACACGCCAACAAGGCCCAAGTTGCCGGCCAAGTTTGCGACCAGAGTTGTCCACTGTCAACGCAAATAATTTAAGCATGAGTCAGAGCGAAAATTACTAGAAATCGGATGATTTTACACCGATGTTGTTAACAACTGTACGTTATGATTCATCCAATTGCTACAAACAATAAATTCGCCGGTATCAAAATGTTATTGATAGGAATATCAAAGTTATAAATTCATTGTGCGGTTGTGGTTGTTCAAAATAAAATAGGCTCGGACAATGCTGCCTAATAATGCGGCGTAAATTAAATTCGCGCATAATTTAAGAAATATTGAAATGGAGATACTTGCAAGTTAGACACTAATTTATATAAAAATACATGATCATTTCGTCACGTAAGTGCCTTGCAAATTTATATGATCTTATTTCACGCACAGTATACGCGGGAGACTCGTCAATTTCTTGGTACGAGGAAGACGCAAGGTAGATCTGAAGGCGAACAGTCGAATTTAAGTCCCTGTGCAAAAAAATTCGTAATTATATATAAGTATCTATACCAATTTTTAATTGCGTGCATCACTGTGATGCAAAATAAGGTTTATATGTATAAATAATTAGTTTACAATCTCTTTTTCATCAATTTTGATTTGCAGCACATATTTTAGTAGAATGGCTGAATATATTGTTTTATATTCTGCTAAAATCTGTTATCAGATTTGTTTGAATCTGTTTTGTCGAAGATCGACATTCCAAAAAATATTTTATTGAGATCATCCATGCGATCATCCACCACTCTTTGAAAATAATCAATCAAGTGCTTATCACTTACCCACACAAGTCCACGCCCATTGGGAACTTTTTGATGTTCTGGACGATTTTGAGGAACTCAGGGTTGACATTTGTGGACGATATGAGAGCTGAGTAACGCACCTCCCTGTCAATGGTGAGTGAACAGATTGAGTTCATGGCGGGCACTCAATTGATAAATTTAGGTGATCATTGACATTGTTTGAATTTTTTGTTCATTTTATAATCAAGTTACCGATCAAACGTTAGTTATTTCCTGCTTCGGCTCCAAGTATTGGAGCCAAAGCTTTTTTTTTATTACAACACTTCTCTTAACTTCACTTCTTGTTGTTTGTTTGTAAGTTTATTTGTTTGTTTGTCTGTCTGCTACAAATCTTATAATCGATATATAATGTCCAATCGATCTGAAATTTTGCACACTTGCGTAAAGTTAGAGACAATGCATGATTCAATTAACAGAATAAATAATTTTGAAATATTTACTTTTTTATTTTTAAAAGTAAAATTTTATTTAATTTTTTAAAATTTAAAATTAATTTTTTATATATGATAATAAAATTAGAAATTTAATTGCACGTGTGTAACATCGGAGACCCAGGATTCTTTAGAAGTGTTGTAGTTAAAAAGTAATTTTTAAACACATATTATCTTGCTTTAGGCTGGCACTGTGAACGGGTATGCTTGCAGTTCAGGGTGTATGCAGATGCTAACATCTCAATTTGTTTTGTATATGTTCGCTAAAGGCTGTGTTATCCAATTTATTTTATTTTATGTTGGTTATTTTTGCGCATTACATTATTTTGTATTCATTTGAAGCTCCAGTTCTTGTTTTATTCGTTGCCTGTAGAGCTTTGTTTATTTTATGCTTTTATGCAAGGGCGTTGTGCAGTGAGTGTCCGGTGCTAATGATAATATTTCATGGATTTGTTGAGTATGATGTTTTAGACCAGGATAGTGTTATGGAGTTGCATAAATGTGCGTTTTGGTGTTTGAATTGATAACATTTCTGGATGCCAGTGTATGTTCCCATTGCATGTGTGTATGTGGGTGTTGTTGAAAATGGGTGTCGTGCAGTGTGAGTGATAAATTATTGTTTTGATATGGGTGCAAGTTTTTTTTAAGCGCCCTGAACATTAATATATGTTTACATTTGAAAATATTATAGGTTTGGACTCTCATATTCCATATCTTCCACAATCATTATTGTCATCCGAACATGTTGCGTTTCAATTGCAGGCCAGGATGGGCGACGGGTTAAAGTTTAAATTTTGCTTCGTTTGTCTACGGCACTTTTGATATGAAAATTGTATTCAACAGTGAATGATTCTGTTGCAGTATGGATGACCCCGATGAGTAGGGTGTTGCGGTACTAACTGAGGGACACTTTCATGTATTTGAAATCGGTCGAGAGCATGTCTAAGGTGGGTTTTTTTCTTGTTGAAATCGATAGTTTCGAGCAATTACTTATCTTTTATGGTTTTCATTGCGCGTTTGCCAATCCACGAAGTGAGAAATTTATTAAATTAGTAGACTTGACGAGCCAGGGATTTAAATATTGTATATGTCACGAAGAGCACGAGCCGACATTTCAACAAATGTTCAAAAACGCTGGGATGTTAAAATACATTACCATATTTATTGAGATGAAAATATCCTCAACTTTCTGTTTTATGTGGGGAAAAATGCCTTTATTATTATTATGCATGTAATAATGCATGCATTCTATTTTAATACAATGTGTCCAATCTGTTCTAGCCTTGAGAACAGATTATTCACTTAGGCTAGGCTGCCGATTGATTATTAAAATTTGTAGCGTACGAATACGCGTGATGACAACCCGTGTTCAACACTCACTTTTTCGTGTGTGATCACACCTATGTTAATTTCTCACGTGCACGCGGGGGGACAGATGCAGTTGAATATGTCGGTGTTTGCCATGTAGGCCACGGCTTCCATACACAAACCTGGCGGTGAACAAATAAAAAATAACTCCTAGGTCATTTACTTTTTAGCTATATTTTGAATTGCATTATGAATGTGCACCAAAGGGTATGCAGTTCGAGGATACAATATAAAATGAAAACTTCAGATATGATATACGGGTTATAACCCTCATGGTGAATGACTCCACAAGGCTGCCTGCTGATATCGATATGGTAATCTTGGTACTTGGTTGGTACATAGCAGTCCCAGGCCACGATGGATCGCCGGCTCTGATTACCGTTCATCCGCACTCATTTGGGCCACCTGATGCACGATGCTGTTGCTTGCTTCTCGCCGCTAGTGTTGCAGGGGAGGTCGATCTGGGATTGTGCCCAGGAAAACGTCCAGTTGTCTCTTGAAGCTCTCCAGGGTGAACTCCCCCTCTCTTAGATCCTTTGGTAGGATGTTAAACAGCCTTGGCCCTGCCACGGAAAGTGATCCTTGCCACAGGAATTGAAATCTGACTGCGGATCTGTTACGTAATGGGGAGATCTTGCACAGTCTCCCCCTTCTCTCGTTGTGATATGTCTCAATCCTGAAGGTCTCGCTCTCGAAGTTTAGCACCATTTCGGTTATCATTTTCCATGTGTACAGAATGACATACCTCTCCCGTCTCCTCTGCAGTGAGTACAGACCCAGGCGCCTCAACTTCTCCCAGTAGTTCAACTCTTCCATTCCTCTGATCCTAGAAGTGAAGGTTCGCTGGACACCTTCCAGTTGCCGCACTGCGCCGAGTGTGAACGGGGTCCAGAGCTGGCAGCAGTATTCGAGAATTGGTATTACAAGGGCTCTAAAGAGTGTGATCATCGGTTCCGCTTCTCTTGTTCTGAACGTTCGCCAGATCCACCCCATCTGTCGCCTACCTCTTGCGGTTATTGCCGTTATGTGATCACCAAAATTGACCTGAGTATTCATCAACACTCCTACATCACGAACAAGTTGTTTCTCTTCGACCGGTGTATGTATTACCGGTTCTTGCTAAATCATGACGATTATGGAAATCTCATCTATCGATAAATGGAAAATAACAATGTCGCCATCTAATCGTTCTCACCCTGAAAGCGGTCGAAGGAGTCGCACTTCCCGAATTTCTTGGCCTTGAACTCGTCTTCGTCGCCGAGGGAGTCGAAGGCGGGGCCCTCGTTGACTGTGCAGTTGCACCGACGCCGGAACTCGCGTTCAATGCACAGCTTAATGCACAGCTACGGGGAGAGGAGGAAATTTTCATAGAATTTTACCATACGTTTTGCAACTGGAGGTACTGTTTTACGTTCCATGACCTGATCAAAGTTTTAAACCTAATCACTCAAAAATGTGTGAGTTAGATTTCGTCCACATAGTGTCAATCTATTGGCCATTTATTTTTCATATTGCAGGATAATAAAAACGGTTGCAGTAGAAGGTTTACCGCTTCAGAGTAGTCAAACATCGGAGTATTGTCATCGGAGCATTCTCCATACGGGGATCCTATGCGCTGCATCACAGTCTGCGGGATTAGTTTTTTCAAAGCATAATAAATAAATTGAGTTTCGAACTATTTACCGCCATGGATCGGACTTCTGCAGTGATTGAATCACTTTCAAAAAAGGATCACAAATATTTCCAGAATACTTCTAATATTATTTCAGAGCTAAACATGAACTGCATGTACAAATAAATATTTTCTTTTTTTTACTAGCAATCTCTGATTTATTTTCATCGATAGTCAGAATTGCCTTTACAGCACGTTTACAGCACTCTTGTTTCACTTTGGTTACGGAGATGGAGTGCGACAGTCCCGCGGCGAGGTTGAAGCCTTCATCGGCCGGGAAGGGCGCCTGCCAAGGCTCATGCAGCACCACGCGCAGCCCCGACCAGGGCGATAGCAACGACAGGTAGCTCGCCGCGTGCAGGTTCAGCGTCAGGCTCAGGCCGCTCTGGTCGTGTCGTTGTCAAGGAAAACAAAGATGTTTTTAGGTATTTAGGTTGGAAACGTGGCAAAGGACGTGTGCTTTTTATACAGGGTCATCAATATTTAGCGTTACATTGTTTTTCCAAAATCAATACACTCGCAAAGGATCTAAAGTTGTCCCCATTCAAGCATGCCAAAAACACCAACTGTCTGCTCAAGTTGTTGACAAACGCCTCCAAAGATCCGAGATTCTTCTTTCCCGCATTCATGATGGCTCGCTGCCAAACCTCGTTTTCAGTGAAGAGAAGATATCCAATGTTGAACACCACTTCAACTCCCAAAATGATCGAATTTGGTCGAAGAATGGGACGAAGGATCCCGTGTGGTGACTAGGAAGCAATGCCCGACCTCAGTGATGGTCTGGCCTGTCGTAACAGAGTCCTCAAGGAGTCCCCTCTTTTTTGTTCACAAAGGGGTGAAATTGAATCAGTAGAACTATTGAGATGCCATCCTTGTTGGTGCATTGTTGCCCTGGGCACGGAAGCATTTCAAAAAACGCCCCTGGTCGTTCCAGCAGGACTCTGCACCATCCCATTGGGCCAAATCGACACAGGAGTGGCTGTCCGAGAATGTTCCCCACTTCATTACCAAAGATGAATGGCCCCCATCGTCACCCGATCTGAATCCTCTGGATTTTGGGATCTGGTCATACCTTGAGAGCAAGGTCTCGATCGTTCACCATAGCAGTTTGGACGCCCTAGATGTCAAACTGCTGAAGGAGTGGGCCAAAATCCCGCAAAGTGTCATTCGTGACTCGTGTAAGGCTTTCTCTAAGCGTCTACAACTCGTTATTGATGCAGATGGTGGACATATTGAATGAAATTGTGGGAATTGTCTCTCTGAACTTCTGCTTACATAAAAACATTCACAATTGTGTTTCATTTCATAGTTCTAACCACTCAAAGTTGTAACGCTAAATATTGATGACCCTGTAAAGTATGACGAATAGTGAACTCACACTCGTAAGCGCGCATTCGTATAGTGTGCATTAGCGCTGATTTATGTGGCATGATATTTAATCTTATGATGAATTCTGAGTTCTGGGCTGCACAGTCCACGACCACTTAGGAAGCGCCGCCACAAATCGTCCTTCCGTACCAGGAGTCGATCAACTTGAGCTACTGAGCCAAAGACGTGCGCAAATTCATCGCTGTTCTTGACTTAAAGCTTCGGTATAAGGTGGTGGACACAACAATGGTTCAAATTGAATCATGATAATTTTCATGACAATGTGTATTTTTAGGAACACTACAACTTGTGTTAAAAATCTATCTATCCTAACACGTAGTAAGGGATTGTATGAAAAAGGTTTTTCGCCTGTATAAGTAATGCCCACGTTTATTGATATTGTTTCCTCGGAAGAATGGTTCTTTTCTTTAGTTTCTGCTGATACGATTTGCATGGTTTGTATTTTCTTCCTACGATATTTTCTTATCAGAAATACTCATCGAAACTTCTGTATGATGTTTTGAATTGATGAAAATCGGTTATAGAGTATTGAGAATTACCTGTATAAAATAAACATTTAATTTACAGCCGTATATTATTTGCTCTTCTATCGATTTTAGATATAATTTTGATTTATAATTATGTTTAATTTATTCATGTAGCATAGTGTATAAGCATTTAAAAATAATCCATTTTTATTCGATCAATTGAGTTAAATTTGAAATTCAAATAATACTGTTCTATTACGTGGAAAACAAAAGTTGATGAAAATTATTGCACCTCAGTTCTCAAATTTAATAATTTTGAACGTAAAAACGTCCACCCATCAGCACTGACCTGCGGTCCGGTTTTGAACGAAGCTCTGGGATTGAAGTTTTTTCTGCGGTCTTCGATGCTGACGTTGGGGCTGGATACTTTGACGAGGTGTGGGCTGTTGAACGTGTAGCAAACTCCCATATCCTTCGTCGTGTACGGGTAAAATTGTCTGAAAATGTCAAGGCGAAAGCAAAAAGCCATTATTTCCATTATTATACCTCAAACTCTAATGAAAATTGTTAATGATACTATAAAATGGAATGGTATCACGTACATAGGATTTGCAGAAATCTCTGACAAAAAGAAGAATCTCTGTCAGTGAGGGTAACTGTTTTCACACGGCCTATAAGACATGAAAATCGATCACCAGAGTAGTTATCAGATGATTGTTTCTCAGGTCTCCATCTTAAGACTGGTCAGCTGCAGAAGCAAGGCCCATGGTTTCTTTTATTTATTACGCGATTAATAATCACATTAATTATTGGTGAAATAAGTCACAGCTAATTGAAGTTAGCTGTATCCTGTACGTACAGCTGTATATATTGTCGAGTAGTATTAAAAACTATGTACGTAATTCGAACGTCGCACACATAGATATCATTATTGCTTCTTATTTTTCATTCGTTCAATTTTTCAATTGCAGTTGCTTTCATTAAATAACGATGGGAGAGTCATATTCTCAAACATTTTTTTGGGTGGTCTTTTTGGTTATTAGAGATGAGATTCGCTCTTTTTGTTTAAAAATATAAAAGGATAATTTTATTTCTTGGAGACACTAGTGTATATAGCATACAAAGAGTGAAGGTCGCAAAAGAGAAATTCGGTATTATTAAGTTATTGTCTATTTAAAAATGTGGTAAAATGAACCAATGAGCATGATGGGTAAGATTAGATTTGTTTGAAGATAGTTTAATGATGGCAAATTTGAAGGGAGTTTAATGATCGCTTACTATGACCTCTTAGCCTATATCAGCTAGGGTCGAAACTAAAAAGGCAACGCAACTGAATAGATTGCAAATTATTTAACCCCGCAACAAAAAGTAGCAGACTGACAAAAAAATAACGAGAAGGTTCCGAAATGAAATAAGATATAATAATAAAGCTATGGAAAATATATTGTAGCCGCGCCTCATGCGTCTCTAATTTTTGTACCGCGATTTTCCTTATAATTTTTTGGCGATCATTGAAACAGTTATTTCTTATATTTTGGTCTTAAATTTGTACTCATTTTTCCATTAATGTTTTTGTCTTTCGGTTTTACTAGCATTTTCATTTAGAGAAAAAGCCTGTTCATCCTGATTATCCGAAGCGCGTCACTTTCATTCTATTAGTCGTGAAGAACTTTGCACTTCACTGCTGGTGAACCTTAATTCTGTGACCTTATTTATTGTGACATGTAAATTAGTGCGTGATGATTGTGAATAGTTATATTGTGATATATAAATTCGAGTTTTGATATTTATTAATAGTAATTTTGTTAGGAATAACTAGGATTAACCTGAAATAGCTACTAGACTTCCACCGGGTTCGATATGGTGCTAGGCATTTCAAGTCTGAACATATATTTTTCCATAGCTTTATCTAGCCTGTTCTGGAATGCGTTCCTGCTCGGAGCGCAACCGATGTAATCACGGAGGCTGTTCCACATGTCGGTGATTCGAAGCGAGATGAAATTTTGTCGCGTGGACAAGTTGCAGCGCAGTTTTTTTAGTTTATAGCCGTGGCCCCTGGTGTTGGTTCTTGTTTCAAATTTTAGTAATCCTTCGGGGACCTTGTATAAACCATGAGTAAACTTGTATACTTCAATGAGGTCCCTACGCAGACGTCGATAACTGAGGCTTAGGAGCTTCATAATCTTTAATCTTTCTTCATTGGACTTGCCCTTCAAGCCTGAAATTATGCTTGTTGCACGTCTTTGAACATTCTCTATTAAATTTTTGTCCTTTTCAAATCGCGGTGACCACATAACGTTTCCAAATTCAAGATTTGGGCGCACGACAGCAACAAACAACTTCTTAATCGCTTCTGCACCTAGGAACTTGTAAGAGCGTCTGATTAGACCAAGAAGTTCGTTGGATGTATATGCTTACGTTTCAACATGCTTAGAAAATTTCAGCTCATTGTCGACATAAACTCCGAGATCTTTTTCCACACAAGGCTTTTCAATCATTACTCTCTCGTTGTAACCATGTCTTGTCATGCTGTTATCTTGCTGCTCATTGTAATTCCCGAGGTGAAGTACTTTACCCTTGTCAGCATTAAACCGCAGCTGCCACGTATCCTCCCAGTTAACTAGACTGTCTAGATGATCTTGTAATTACACGATATTTGACGCATCCTTCACTGTATTATAAACTTTTGTGTCGTCGGCATAAACTATAAGGTAAGGTAATGCCTATCCCTCACAACAGATTCCATTACCTTACAAACAATCCTTGTCAGACTGACAGGGCGATAGTTACCGGGGCTAATTTTGTCACCTTTTTTGAACAATGGTGTTACATGAGCTTCTTTCCAATCGGACGGCAAAGTTCCTTCGTTCAAGGTTTTTTTGAAAGAATACTCTCAAAGGGCCGGCCAGAACGGCTGCTAATTCTTTGAGCAATCTGGGATGGAATCCGTCTGGTCCACAAGACTTGTTGGGATTTGGAACTACCAGGCGTTTGAGAACCTCTTCTTCGTGTATTTCACAAGCTATTAACTTCGAGCCGACTGGGCGCTCCTCAATATCTGGAATACTGTTCAAGTCCTCATCTGTGAACACACTGCTGAAGAACTGATTAAGAACGTTAGCCTTGCCCCCATCAGAGGAAATCTTTCGTTGGTGTACTTTCAAATCAGATATGCCGTCGTTTGTCTTACACTTCGAACTAACGTAAAGAACAAGGCTTTCGGATTTTTTTTGCATATTTAGCAATATTTTTTTCGAAGTTTTTCACTTTAGTGCGACAGACTTTTTTAGCTTGATTTCGAGATCTTGCATACAGGTTATAATCAGAATCACGGCTAGTTCGTAAATAACGCTTGTAGGCTTCCTTCTTGGTCTTTAACTGAGCTTTAACTGTACTGCTCATCCCCTGGGACTTTTTGACTCCTCCAAGCGTAATCTTAGGTACACAGTCATTAACTGCAGACATAACCGTGTCTTTGAGAAATGACCATGAATCAGCCACATTCGTGTCCTTAATACAGTCCGAAATATTCGCCGCATTCACTGCTTCACGGAGTTTATCATAGTCGCCTTTCGCAAAGTTCAAACGTTCACGTTTCCGAAGCGTCTTTCCTGCACAGCACTTCATACTGAAAAACAATGATTGGTGGTGGCTTTTGCCCAATGGAGATTGGGCATTGGGCATTCACTGATTCTTCACTAGTAAACACAAGATCTAGAATATTTGGGGGGTTGGCTTGGTGATGTTCTGGATTAAAAATGAGTCTCACACAGACTCCAAGAACTGGGATGCTGGATGATTCCCATTTCTTGTAGAAGATTCATCTGCCCAGTCTATTTCTGGATGGTTAAAGTCACCAACGATCAACGTATGCGATCTGCTGAAAGTCATGCGCGGTAAAAGGCTGTTTGGTACTTTATTGTTATCAGAGGAGCTGTTAGGTGATCTATAAATGACCCCTAGAGGAGGCTATCCTTGCCTTTTAGAGTAAGTTCGCACCACACTGATTCTCAAGCTGATTGATACTCTGCAGATAATTTAAATTACTGGGCTCCATAAGAGGTTCTAACCCACAGAGCTACACCTTTACTGCACTGCTCTTCATTTAAGTTATGAAAACAATCAAAACCTGGCAACTGAAATTCAACAGGTACAATTTTCCCCCGTGATTTTTAGGGAGTGTTTCTGTACTACAAATAATGTCTATACACTCGTTTGCGATCACAGTTTACAGTTCACTTTTTTTGTTCAAAACGGAATCCGAGTTCGTGTAAATATTTTCAAAACTTTTAGTGCATTTTCATTTTGTTGTATGCGGTTACTTCCTTCATTATTTACAGGCCTTAATCTACGGACATCATTCCTACTAATTACTAGCCCTCCATCTCCTCTGACTGACCGTGAGCAGCCGGTGTTGTCTTGACAGCTTGGAAGTGATTGACCTGATTATCCGTGCCTTTCCGCCTGATTCTCTCCTGCCTCTTCTTGAGAAAAACCGCCCTCTCTAAAGGGGTGGAATCTTTCTTTGCAAAGGCTGACTTGTAATGAGCGGATTCTCCAAGCTTTTCGCCGTTTTCAGCACGCTCCAGACCTGAGCAGAATCCTTTACAGTCACCAAAAGAGGTCTGCAGGTCTTGGCAGCAGCATCCTTCGAGCGTAGCCTCTTGCACGATGTAACATCAATCGGTTTTTTGAGTACCTTGCTGCAACATTCTACAACAAATGCCGTGTCATCCATCACTCGGTCCTACTCATCAGATGCGGTACTTTCGGGAATCCCAAACCAAACCAGGTTGGCCTTCCTACGTGCTCTATCAAGTAATTCACGTGAGCTTTCGCTAGCGACTTCAGATAAGTCAGCTCTCTTGTTCTTTATTTCCATTTCTTCCATATTTTTCAGCTGAGACTTCACTTTAGTCAGCTCACTGCATAGCGAGCTCAATTTGTCACTAAGCGAGCGCACCATCTCACTCAAGGACTACATCATTCAACGATGTCGACTCATTGCCGTGCTTTTTACCGACTCCTCACTTTTTCGAGCACCAAGAGTTGGTTTTTCGCAATCACGGCAAAACCAATGAAGTAATTTAGATTTCTGGAGAAATGAGTACTCAGAGTTCAACTTCGAACAGCTGATACAAATGAGATCTTCGCATCGTTCACAGGTGACCGTCTGGACTTCGCTCAGAGAAATCACTTTGCAGTAGTTGCAAACTTTCATCTCTAGCTGGGCTGATTTGGTTGCATTTTTTTAGAGGCCGTAGAGGGCTTTTCGACCATTTTCTTATTTTCTGTCCAGCCATTATAAAATGCACGAACTAGACATCTTGAACGGAGAAAAATACAAAACTGAGTTGAGTTGAGTATAGTAAAGTTCCCTCGAAAATTTCGACTGGCGGAACAGCTGAGCTGTAGCTGGCGAGCGAAAGACAGGGATGGGCTGGGGAAATCAAGGGATCGACGCGACAGACGGGTAGAGAGGGGGAGGGATAGGGGCCAAGAGGGTGTGGAGGGTATAGGAAGAAAAGGCCTGAGCATGTTCAAGGCACCGTTGTTCTCCGGCTGATAGGCCGTCGCCGAGGGTTCCCAACAAGCTACAAGCTTGCCCTCACTTCATGCACTGGCGTTTTTCGGGAATAAAATACTTGTACTAGCCGCTTTTTCTCACTATTCGCATCATTTTTACTGAACTGCACTGAAATTGAAACTTTCACTGAAATTGTTTCGGTACAAATTCGAGAGATAAGTCAAACCGGCATGGTAAAAAGTGAGAAAATTGGGACCCGCAAACACGTACGTTCGTCCTCGATCACGGCCAGAACCAAACTCCTTAATACAAACAACCTCAATACAAAAACCAAACTCCACGGCCAAACGTAATACAAAAACATTTTGTTCGTACAATTTTTTTTAGAAAATGTAAGTTTTCCTCTTCCTCTTATGGTTTACATGCTACAACATTGAAAGATAAATCATTCGATTTAAACCTAGTGTCAAATCTAGTTATTTAGTGACCCTTGAAGCCTTTTTCTGATTTTGTTTTACTTTTTCTAGAAAAATTTTTCCTTTTCTCTCTCCATCAAGTTCTACTTTGATGGAGATACAATACAATTCATACAATATACGTATATTGTAGACATTTTTGGTTGGGCTTATGTATTACATAATCCAAATAATGAATACATCAGAAAAAGGGCTTCTATATTTACTAGATACACGCATAACGAATCTAATGATATGTCTCTCGATGTTGTAGCTCAGATAAAAGAGGATACCTATAGATTTTTAATAAGTCGTAATATGAAAATTTCAATTGTCCAGGGAATGCAAAAAAAGTGAAACGGGTCCAAAAAGAAGTAAAATATATATATAGAATCATGCGCGGCCTGACTTAGTGTTGTTTAGTTTAACTTGAAAAACAATCTATAAATAATATATTTTTAGAGAAACCTTAATATCCATTGTGGAAATATGTTAATTTTTCAGAAGTTACAAACTACCACGCACAAACTAAATCATACACTTACGTGAGGGAAGTTGCGTTAGAGGTGCCATTTTCTAGCTACAAAATGAGATCAGAAAATGTTACAGCAACTAGTTCAATTTTTGGGTTGGACCCTACCCTTAAGAGTAATATCAACATCATAATCGTACAAGTAATTATACTGGGACCTTTGTTGAAATATGATAGATGAGTCAGCGAATAAGGTGTACTGAATAGATCTTAAGAAGATAACGAACAAGGTATAAGTTTTGGCTTTCCAAGGGTATGATGTAGACGCTGTTGCAATTGCAACATTCCTTGCAATTTCAGCATTAGTTGTATTTGTAACATTAGTTGTAATTGCAACATTACCTGCGATTGCAACCTTACATGTAATTGCAGCACTACTTGTAATTGCAACATTACTAGTAATTGCAATAATACATATATACGCAAAATTACTTGTAATTGCAATGGACGTTGTCGACGCTGCACACTTGGATGAAGTCTTCTGGCTTCCTCGCCGTCTTCTCGATCACGTCCAGGTCGGGGGCGTAGCGTGCCCTGAGATCCGACAAGTCGTTCGATCGGCTTTGGCTTACTTTAAATTTTAGGAAACTCGCGGACATCTCCCGTGCTGTCCCATTCAGCCACATTCCTGAAATATCTGAAAGGCCAAATACACATTTATGGAAAGAATTGAAAAGCCACATGATTTTTGCAACATCTACAAACATTACTATTTTTCCAAACTGTTTTCCCTAATTCCGTAATGTGTTTTCAAGTTCATTTGAGTTTGAAAAGAAATAATGTAATTCACTCACCCACAGGGGTGTATTTTCCTGAAGCACAAGAAATCTTCACCTCAGTTGGGCTGATGTAGGTCTCTTTGTAAACTGTGCATAATAACAAATCAAGATTCAGTGACAAGTTGTATTGAGCCAAAAATGTCCCGAAGATATTTAGAAATTTCATGTCAAAAAGCTGTGCTTCCGACAATAAACTTCAAATCTGTAAAAAAAAACATCAAATTTTTGATCGGTTTAATAAGTTACTGCCAGTTCAGGTGAAGAATCTTGACTCGATGAAAGGATATAACACATTAGGAATAATGAGTTCTAGGCTCATGTCCCGTGCTTTAGAAGTAAATTGATGGAGATAGAAGAGAACGAGTCAAGCATTAGCGAACATTTATTTGAATGCTTTCTTTGAACCAGATCTCTTCATTTGCGATGCAATGGATTTATTATGTTCACGATGAAAATGAGTTCATGAATCAGGAACAGTTTCCGTTCCGTATGTGAACTTATATAACAATTTTTAAGTTAAACAGTTTTTAAGAAGCACGTACCAGCGGAGGCATTGCACGTCTTCTCCTACGAACGGGCGACGCGGAACTTTCTTCTGTAGTCGAGTTTGTGTCGCCGGTTGTTGCGTATGCAGTAGAAGAAGTGCTTGCTGCAGTAGAAATCGAGATTTGTAATTGAATTCATTTGAACAATGTAACAGTTCTTGTAACTTGGGAAATTGTGATTTCGTATCGAATTTATTAAGTGTTGCAATATTAGCAATACAATAGGCATAATTCAGAATAATTGTTAAATTAGCAAGATCTCTAACTTTACCTGCGGGCTCGGCCGTTGAACTCTGCGTTTGCGAGATGAGAGTCGTTGATGGAGATGCTTGCGATGTCGAGAACGAGGTTGTGGAGCTGTCATTGTTAGTATCGTTGCTCAAGTCGTTGTAATCGAAAGTTTTTGGTTGTGAGTCGCAATTTTCTTGGCATATATCTGTAAATCAATTCGCAAAATACAGATAATTTAACATACGGTAAGAGCTTTCTCTGTGTACGGTAATAGCATTCTGATCCTTACACCAATCAACACCCGCACAGCTATATTTACATTCGTATGTTTAAGTGAATGAAAATAGAAAATCTACCCATTTAGTTGAGTTATTTATTAAGAAGTCGTTGGAGTGAAAATTTCAATTAAATTTACCCTTATATGAAGAGTTTACATTCCCACATCAACATTCTCACCATCTGCCAGTGGATCATCGCTGACATTTTTAAGGCCGGCACATTCTGAAAGCAAATTCATGATAAAAATACATCCATTCACTTTTTAACTAATTGAAGGTTTCAATGAACTCAAAATGAAATGCACATAATGATCAAGAGTTGTTCAGTGATTTTTTAATTGATTGAGGTGCGTAACAATTACGAATTAACAGAAATTTGCGAAAAATCACGCAGTTGACTTTTATTAATAAATTAGGATTATGATTTCTTGCTTCATGAATGCTTGATGATAAAGTCACATTAGATTTTCCATCAAAATATGCAAATTGAGTATTCCATGGATGTTATTTATAAAGTTAAGCAATTTAGCGCTACTTAAGTTACAGTTACATTAAATGCTGATGATATTTATTCAAATCTTACAGCATAATAAAAAATATATTGGTGGCGCTGACGAAATTTGCGCGTAAGCAAACAGGTGAAAGGTAATTTTTTATTGTTGAGAACGAAATTTAGAGGTATTCTTTTATATATTACCTCTCGGATGCATAGGAATCGATTTTTTAGTTCCTTGAGTGAATAATTGATTGATCATAATCAATAATAATTTTAAAATCGTTCACCAGCCACAGTGTTCTGTTCCTGGACGTCGATGAAGGCGCCGTAGACTATGTCGTTCCTGAGTGCCTCTTCGTTGTTGATGGGGTTCAGGCTGCATAGAGTCACCGCTGGGAACTGGGCCGGGCGCTCCGTTTGAAGCTGAGATCATAAAGTTTATTTTGACGAGCAGTAGGCAATCCTGGCATCTCACACCCCCCTAACAAAAATGGTATTTGATTTTAGCCCGACTCTGCACCAGGTGCTGACCATGACTCGGGGACCTCGTGAATCAACCGCTCTATTTCCGCTTCGGCCGAATTAGAAGTGCAGCTTTTAGGTAGCTAGCAAGCTCGACCTGACTTCGACTCAGCCACCCCTCGAAATTACTACAGTAACTATTTTCAATATTAATTCCGAATAACTGTTTTATTATAGAATGATAGCGCCTTCGCCAACACACTAGAAGCTTAGTCACGATCAGCGCAGTATTGTGCCATTGTATGCAACAGATTTATAAATCGTTCCTATGGTACAGATATTATTAACGTCCCACCTGAATCGCCACAGCTTTAGGGTACTTGATGTACTCATTGTAGACGTCGTAGCATTGCATGAGGCTGTACACCGAGCACAAAATCAAGAACGTCAACCACATCAGCCGACGCAACCAATGACGAGCGCTGAAACAAAGCACGTTAAAACGCATCGGATAATCAAGAAATTTGTGGGCGAATTCAACAATCGCTGGCACCTTTGACAGTTTCCAGGCTAGTAAGTGGTTCTGTCGCTACAAGTCATGAAATCTATCATGATAATTTTCAACACTCTGACCACTTGTAGGCTGAAAATAATGAAAAAGCAAACAAACTAAAATGTTTCCAGTTACCCGCAGGTCTGTGCAGGACCGTCCAAAGTGACGATCTCGAGGAACTCTTTGGTGCGGGTCTTCACCCTCGTCCAGCGGTTCTCTGGCTCGACCGGCGCGTCGAATTCCGACGGCGGTTGTTCCCACGAATCTTCGTCGCTGATCAAGAGGGATTATGGCCGCATTTTTCAGAATGGCTTTCAGGAAAGGATGTTTCATTAATACTTGTAGATTATTTCAGAGCAAAAGATAACAAATAAGTAATTTATAATAATAATAGGCGGCTTAAAATGACACAAATTTCAATAGCAGCCCATGGGGTCACGCAACCCAGTGTGGCCTGACACTCAGCGTTAACTGATACCCAGTATTATTTGAGACGCAGTATCATCCAAGACCCCGTGTTCGAGCTAATAAACTTTACCTCTTCTGTGGTAACAAAGTTTGGAAGCGGTCTCTAATGGAATATGTTCACGAGTTGGCATATATGTTTTTTCGGTCATTATAGCATTATTTAATTATTATTTTTATTTGGTATTGCCGAGGTTTAGTATTGAATCATGTTGAATTAAAAATTTGCGGAAGCGGTTCTGAGAGAACGCATAACACGGATAAAGCGTATAGTGAGCCAATATATACGCTGCATGTTTTAACTCTGTCTGCTAATGAAAAGCGAGAGACAGAAAGTCACTATCATACGAAAATTTTAGTCACCCTCCTCTAAATGTGTGAATATATTCGTCTTTTACACTGCGGGTCGGTTTCCACAAACGATGAAGAAATTTAAAACGACGACGTAAGCGACATCTGTTAAAGTGGAATAATTGGAACTTTTCCCTGATTACATTTTCGTTACTAAACACGACTTTAATTTTATCGCTAAACACGCCTTTGATTTATAACTGCAAATAATCGACATTGGAGCTCGCAAAGACAATAATAACTGCAGTGTCTCACAGAATTGTGGTATCATTTAGCTCTGCACGAACCACGCTGATACTTTGTATTCATACGACGAGATAAGTGCATTGGATATAAATCAATACTTTGCTGACAAAAGTACGAAGAACTTGTTCTTCATCAATTGTTTTATCATTCCATGAATTTAGTTGTCCCCGTTGAATCCAAGTGGATGCATAAAGAAGGCTGACTTAATTAAAGTTTCTGAATCATTGACTACCATCGTGTTTGAAAGATTCCACGAGACTAGAATGTTCCTGTAACTATGTCCACATAGTCTGTTTTGGTTTTGTTTATAGCCTCTATATTTTCTTCGGCAAACACCAAAACTTCCTGCATATACGTGACAGTAAAATGGGCAGCGATATTAATATATTTGTAATGTACAAAAGTCCCCCCATTAACTACCAACCATTTCCAGCAACAAAAACGAGTATCGCTAAATGGAGTCTTTATGATATATCCTCGCATTGCTAGAGCTTTGATCTTGCCTGTTAACTATTCAGGCATCAATTTCATTCTGAGCCGCGAGGGAGACACTAAAACGCATCAGCATATTTGCTCCTTCATTACATGAGCGTTTAATTGGTACCGGTTAAAGCTGATAAGTCTGATGCCTGAATGCCTGAACAATGATTGGGTTCCATTTGGGTATTTTCACGGCGAAACGCATATACGACAGTGGTAGAAAAGAACACTTCCCCAATCAGAATACGACCCCGATTCCCCAATCAATGCTGCTATCGTAGAAAGATTTAACATGCATTGGAAAACCTAATGATGGCGACACGCTTCGTCAAATACTGGATATCAATTATAAATCGACGGAAAATAGTCTTCGATTAAATCGAATTTGAATTTTTATCGATAAAAATCAAAGGCGTAATTGTTATTTCAAAAATCTGTTCCTAGTGAATGAGTGAATTACTACGCATGTTTAAAGAAAATGTATCCGAGTTTTCTGTACATTAAATTTTTACATTTTCTATTTAAAATAAATAATGACGAAAAAACGTAAATGATACATTTTTACTGTGGAACTGGAGAGCCCGAAAGTAATTTTGCAATCTATTACAATTATTATCAAGTTCACGTGACAGCTTTGATCGCAACGAAAATAGCCAGATAATTCATCATTTCTTTGTAGTTGGGCAAACTTTTAAAACCCATAAAACAAGAATAATCAATTAGTAAATAAAAGTTCACACTGAAAATATTAAAAACCAAATCGACAAATAAAACAACACGGAAACATGAACAGACAGACCTATTTATTCAAAATTTAAATGTCATAGGAGCTGAAGGAGGCAGTTTAACTAGGTTTCTGTTTAAAAATATAAAGAGACTCTTAAATTCGCACGTCAGAAACACAGGTTGTGAAAATTAAATTTCGGAAATCACTATCGAGCACCGGGACGTTTCACTGCACTCACCCCA